GACTGAAGCGACTTAGCACACACACACAAAGGTCATTCAGTGACATTATTTGCAGGAGTTTGGTGACAAATAGTGCTGGAAGTAACCTTGCTACTTCCGGAGGCATCTAAGGTTGAATGAGGAGCCCCCACTGTGTATTGCCACAGCCCCCAGGTCTGTCTGCTTTTCCCTTGGTCCCTGAGACAAAGGGAACCAGAGTCAGGCTGACAGAATAACTGGCTCTGATCACATCTGACTGCTCTCTTCAGCCCCTTCCCATCAAGGGCATTGCGCTGAGACAGTAGGGAGGCCTGGGGAGAAGAGCTTAGGAAGTGCATGGGTGAGGGAGGGCCAAGGGCCCTTTTCTGGAATGATAAGGTTGAGCGCCAGTGGACTCTCTGCCCCGCCCCCTTGGGGGAGAGAGAGTAGCAGTTTAGGCCCTGCTGGAGGAGGCTGATTATGGCTTCTGTGGGCACAGATGGCAATGGAGGTAGTGAAAGGCCTTTTCTGCCACCACATTGCCATGGGCCTGAAGCCTCTTTCATTCATTCCCACATATACCCCTAGGGCATTGGCAGGTGCTGTGCTGGGCCCTGGGGGAGTGCTGGGGGAAAGGGGTACGTCTGAAGATGAACAGGTGGCTGGGAGTGAGCATTCTGGTCTCTACTTTCCTCCTGGAATCTCCCTTTGCGAGCATCCTGGGGAGTCTCTTCGCCCCTCTCCTGTATTTTCTAAACCCTAGGTTTAGAAAACCCTTTCATGGTTAACCACCACCACCGCCACCAACCCCACCCCTCCCCCTGCCTTTTTTTTTTTTTTTTGATGGAGCACATCTTCTGGTAGCTTCCTGAATAAAGTTACTTAGAATGGAAAATTTGGAGAACTTACATGTCTGAATATGTCTTTATTCTACCTTCCCACTTGACTGGTAGTTTGGCTTGGTGTTGAATTCTATATTGGAATCTTTCCTTCAGATTTTTTTTTTTTAACCTTTTTTTCTTAAAAAATTTTTTTTTTGGCTGTGCTGGATCTTTGGTGCAAAGTGTGGGCTTTCTTTAGTTGCAGTCGAGCGGCATGTGGGATCTTAGTTCCCCAACCAGGGCTCAAACCCTCATCCCCTGAATTGGAAGATGGATTCTTACCCACTCCCTCTTTGGGATTTCTGAAGCACTTGTTCCATTTTCATCTGTGTTACGTTCTGTCCTGATCCATTTTAAGAGATCTGTTTCTTTTCTTTGGGAACTTTCAAGATCATCTCTTTGTCTTCAGTGTCCTGAAATTTCATTCTGGTGTGGATCCATTTTTAACCACTATGCTGAGCAGTGGGTGGGCCCCTCTAATCAGAAAAAAACAAAACAAAACAAAGCTTGTCCCTCAGTTCTGGGAGGTTTTTTGTAATTATTTGATATTTCGTCTTTTTTTTGAGGTGGGGGAACTCTTATTGTTCAGATATTACACCTTCTGGGTGGTTCTCTGAACTTTTCCAACCTTTCTAGTGAGAATTTTATCTGTGCTCTTTTATTTTTATTTCTCCAGAGTTCTATTGTATTTCTGCTTGTCACTTTTTAATGGCATCCTGTTCTTGTTTCATGTATACAATATTTTATCTGAGAAAGAGGATAGATTTTGGAAGTGTTCTTCTCCCTGCAGTTTCTCTATTTTTACTTGTTTGTTTTGTCTCTATCATTCATGTTAGAGTGCCTGCTCATGTTTAAGAGTGAGGGACTTAAAAAAATAGTGAGAGACTAAAAAGGCATCTTGGACCTATGGGCATGTGGTTGGAGCTTCTCATTTGAGAACTTGGTGTGGGGGTTTTCTGGATGGGAAATTTGTAGGGGGAATCTCTGATATGGGATTCCATAGGTCTTTCCTCTTGGGCTGAATACATTTCCAGTGGAGATTTTCCCCAGTATCTAGCCTTTAAGGTAAAGGCTGCTGGCCACCCTTCTGGGAAACAGATCTGGGGTCTCAGTATTCTATGTGCAAGTTGCTTTAATTCCTTTGATGTCTATAAAATACCCATGCCCTTGACTGTGCCTGGTTTTCTTCATAGCAGAAACCCTCTCTGTTTTATTACTCTGGGAAACAAACAAACAAAACAAAACCCCCAAACCTTCCTTTATTTTGTCTGGGTTTGGGGAGAGGCAGTTTTCCATGAGTGTGAAGCGGGAGAGGGGATTCAGGGATCTAATATTTGCTAACCAGCTCTCACTTTTTCCCTTCCCTTCTGGGGGTACTTGATGCCATACTCCTGAACCTTCTGAGGTTTCCATAGATAGTTCAGACTGAGTCTCACCATTCCCCACAGCCAGCTTGCTTCCCAGCTCTCTTGAATGTGTCAAATCAGTACCATTGATGCTTTCCACCTTCCAAAATGTCACTGTGCTCCCTCTTCTCACGTCCCCATCTTTGTGGGTTCAAATCTTTTCAAAATGATCTTTCAGTTCAGGTCAGTTCAGTCGCTCAGTCGTGTCCCACTCTTTGCGACCCCATGGACTGCAGCATGCCAGGCTTCCCTGTCCATCACCAACTCCCAGAGCTTGCTCAAACTCATGCCCATTGAGTGGATGATGCCTTAGAAAAATTCCTTTAATTGAAGTTTTAGTAGAATTTCAGGAGGGAACCAAATTAGGTATGTCTATTCAATTTACTATCTTCAATGGAAGACTTTATTAATGTTATTACTACTTTTGAATAGGTAATACATGCACAAGTTAAAAATTTCAAAAGGTATAAAGGAGTAAGCAGTGAGAAATAAATCTCCTTCCCATCCTCATCCTCAAATTTCCTTAATCAATTTCTTGCATGAAAACAACCTTTTGAGGGCAGGTTATCTACCTATTAAGGGAAATCATTAATGTTTACAGTAAGAGGACCCTGCTTAGAAAATATTTGTTAAAAAAAAAAGATCTCTGCCCTTTTGGGGTGTCTCTTCACTGCAGGGTAGCAAGATGCGTTGACCAGGAATAAGGATAATCATTTCCCTTTGAAAGTTTCCCATTCTCTTTCCTGTCATACAAAGGAGGAAAAGGAAACTCAGAGAAGTGACTGTCCAAATTTACCAGAAAGTAGGTTGGGGAGCCTAGATTGGAAAAGCTGGTATTAGAAGGCAGCAGTGTGCAAAGCATGCCAGGTGCAAGGTAACACTGGGGAGTCTAGTTTCTCAGTTTTGATCCTTAGTGCACCTGCTTTGCAATCAACAGAGGAGTTGCTTAAAAATCCAGACCTCTGGGCCCCACACACTTAAGGAGAATCTCTTAGGCTGGAATTCAGAAGTTTGCATTTTTAAAAAGTTTTTCAGTGATCTTAGGCACATCAAAGTTTAAGAATTGGTGGGCAGAAAAATGCTCTGGGCATCCAGAGCAGGGAGCAGACAGATTTAAGCAGACAGATGGAGAAAGCAGCATATGAGTTTGTTGGTGAAGGCAGAGGAAGATTTAGACAAATGGAGAAGGTGGGGAGGAGGGACCATAGCAGACTTGTCTAATGCAGAAGTCATGCTTAATAGCCTCCTCCCTAAATCTTAGCAGTCTCTCAGGGCTGAGCTCAGTAGAGCCTTCCACTCTGGGAATAGCGAGATGGAGCCCACATAGAGGTGGTTTAGAATATAAAGGACACACACATACTTGACAAATAGAGGACACCCAGTCACAGTCAGCAGGAAGGGGCAAAGATGACTATATAAGAAAAGGACACGAAATTACAGTGGACAGAGGACAGCTGCAGAATCACGAGCAGACACATGTAAGGTGGAAAAGGATAAACATGGGTGGATATAAAAGGCACTCACAGAGACCAATGAACAAGTCACACATAAAGGCAGAAGGAACACCAAGCACAGAGACAGGTACGAAGGACATATGCAGATAGACGGCTGGGGGGACAGGCAGATAGGGATGAACTTGAGGGATGCCTCAAATCCGTCAAGGGGACTGAGATGTAGCCGGCTCCCACCCTCACTAGGCTGAGTTGAACGGATTAACCTGAAGTACCAGGCTCTGCCTTCCAGGGCCCTTGCCCATCCTTCTGTCTCACTGCCGAGTGAGGTCAGGACCCCGGCTGGAAGGGCGAAGTGTGCTCCCGGATGTGTACCTTGGTCAAGGCGAGATCACTTACACCCTCTTATGTTACATTTATTTCAGCTCTCAGATGTTTTTTTTAGGCCTTTAGTCTTGAATCTTTCTGGCTCGCAGCCCAATTTCGTACAGGTCTCTCGAGCCCTGTTTGTTCTTGGAGTGTTTTATTCTAACTCGGGGTTTCAGTGGACTCGGAGGCTTCATCAGCCTCATTTACAGATTACTTCCTCTTTAAGCTACCCCCCCCCCGCCCGCCACCAACCCGCCACATTCCCAGACGCCCTTTCATTCCCGACATTACTTGCAGTTTCTAGGAGCACTACGTTTCCCATAAATCTTAGCGCCCAAGCAGCTGCCCTTAGAGAACTTCAAGTACCGAAACGCTCTCCTGTCCGTCTCCGTGACCACCGCGGTGACCGATGGGGCTTGTAGTTATCTAGGAATTGTCAGGGGACCAACCCCCCCCCCCCAAAACCCCCAAAACTACTCATCCCAGGAGTCCTAGTATCAGAGGCAGATTTAGCGCTTGTCTTTCTGCGGACACCTCAATCCTTCCTCTGAACCGCTCAATCCTGCCTCTGACTCCAACTCCCGCCGTGCCTTGAGCCGCTCTCCCTGCGGCGGCGAATGGTGCCGTGTCCAAAGTGTTCTCTGGGAGTTGTAGTTCTTATATTGGTGCGGCGAGGAGGAGGCGGAGTGACTCGGCGGCCATTAGCTGTGTGTAGTTGCCGGGGACTAGGAGCTTAAGTGAAGAGGGAAGCCTTATTCGGTGGAAATCAACTATGGCCATGGGCTTCTGCCGGGGCTAGCCCTAGAGTACGGAGAAGGCGGCCTTTTTGGTTCCCCTCCCCGCCGAGTTGGAGGGGGCACACTAGGCCTCCGGACATCCCCGGTCTCAAGTAGGCCTCGTCTGCCGGCAAGGGCGCCCCAAAGGCGGGCGGCGCCATGTCGCTGGTTGCTTACGCCAGCAGCGAAGAAAGTGAGCCGGATGAGGCTGAGCCGGAGCCGGAGGAGGAGGAGGAGGCGGCGGCCCCTACACCTGGGCCGACTTTAGGGGGCTTGTTCGCTTCTCTTCCCGCACCCAAGGGTCCGGCCTTGCTGCCTCCGCCCCCCCAGATGCTGGCCCCAGCCTTTCCCCCGCCGCTGTTGCTGCCCCCACCCACCGGCGACCCCCGGCTCCAGCCTCCTCCCCCCTTGCCCTTCGGCCTGGGAGGCTTCCCCCCACCTCCAGGCGTGAGCCCGGCTGAAGCGGCGGGAGTTGGGGAGGGGCTCGGATTGGGGCTGCCCTCGCCCCGAGGCCCTGGCCTCAGTCTGCCCCCCCCTATCGGCGGTGCCGGGCCCCCCCCGGGGCTTCCGAAGCCAAAGAAGAGGACAGAGCCGGTGAAGATTGCGGCTCCAGAGTTGCATAAAGGGGATGTGAGTATGCGGGGAGGGCACCCCCACTGTCCATTGGGTTTGGGCATGGGCTCAGCTGTGGGAGGGACTTGTGGAGGCTCGGAGACTCTCTCCTGTAAATGCATCCCTTGATTCCGGACCACTGGATTCCTGGTATTGTGCGATTAGTCCAGCTGAAGTTTGTCGGCTTTGGGGAGTTGAGAGTATTTGTCCTTGCCTGTTTCTCCAAACTGTACCTGCCCGCGGAAAGGCCTTATACCATCACCTGACACTGACAGGGCCAGACCTAGGGACACTTGATTGCATTCCGTCTGTTGCATCTTCACCGCAGTTTCCTCCCCCCCGCCCCAAACCCCCCAAGTACTCAGAACAGCATAAAATGTGGCACTTGAGGCAACAGGAGACAATTCCTGAGCCCTTGGCCAACATTCAGAACTAACCTTTTGCTTTGCCTCTGAACTTAAAAGCATCAGGGTCTGAGCGGGAAGGATAGGAATCCTGGATTCTATTTATGAGACAAGTTACGGAAGAAATTCGGTATTTGTTGAGTACAGATCATTTGCCAGGCATTGACCCTTTCCTTGAATTACTGCCGAACTGTGAGAGATAACATTCTAATTTTTACAGATGAGAAACAGGTGTCCAGCGTGTAAGATCTTACCTGGTGAAGGACAGAGTGTGAAGATTCAGAATTTAGCTGAACTTCAGGCCTATGCTTCAGTTTCACCATTTACATGCAGAAGAGGCAACCAAGCTTGTGTCGTTTTCTGAATGTTGGATCAGTAAAATTGAAGGCCTTTTTTGGAGTGAGCACTTGGGAGATAGAAGAGACAGCCTAGGGGCAGGTAATACTTTAGAGTTATCTGGAGTTCTTCCCATTCTTTATCTTCTAAAAGTTCAGTTGGTCCATGCCTCGCTCACCTCTGGTAACCCTCAGAGGGAAGCCAATTTTCGCCCTTGCTTTTCTTCAGACTTCCAACTCGGCCTGGAGGCTATTTCTGTTCTCTTCCCCCCAGATGTCTGAATGTTCTCTCCCTCACCTCTTTCAAATCTGGGTTTAAAAGACAAGTTCTCAGTGAGGACTTGCTAGCCGACCTATTTCAGTTGTAACTTCCTGTCACCCACTCCGCCCCACCCCACTTTTATTTTTCTCCATAGCACCACCATCTAAGATGCTTTATCACAGTCTAGTTCAGTTCAATTGCTTAGTCTTGTCCAACTCTTTGCAACCCTGTGGTCTGCAGCACGCCAGGCTTCCCTGTCCATCACCAACTCCCAGAGCCTACTCAAACTTATGTCCATAGAGTTGGTGATGCCATCCAACCATCTCATCTTCTGTCATCCCCTTCTCCCACCTTCGATCTTTCCCAGCATCAGTCTTTTCAGATGAGTCAGTTCTTCGCATCGGGTGGCCAAAGTATTGGAGTTTCAGCTTCTGCATCAGTCCTTCCAATGAATATTCAGGACTGCTCTCCTTTGGGATTGACTGGTTGGATCCTCCTTGCAGTCCACGGAACTGTCAAGAGTCTTCTTCAGTGCCACAGTTAAAAAGCATCAATTCTCGGCACTCAGCTTTCTTTATAGTCCAACTCTTACATCCATACATGAGTACTGGAAAAACCATAGCTTTGACTAAACAAACCTTTGTTGGCAAAGTAATGCCTCTGCTTTTTAATATGCTGTCTAGGTTGGTCATAACTTTTCTTCCAAGGAGCAAGCGTCTTTTAATTTCATCGCTGCAGTTACCATCTGCAGGAATTTTGGAGCCCAAGAAATACTGTTTCCATTGTTTCCCCATCTGTTTGCCATGAAGTGATGGGCCTGGATGCCATGATCTTAGTTTTCTGAATGTTGAGTTTTAAGCCAACTTTTTCACTCTTCTCTTTCACTTTCATCAAGAGGCCCTTTAGTTCTTCTTCACTTTCTGCCATAAGGGTAGTGTCATCTGCATATCTGAGGTTATTGATATTTCTCCTGGCAATCTTGATTCCAGCTTGTGCTTCATCCAGCCCAGCATTTCTCATGATGTACTCTGCATATAAGTTAAATGAGCAGGGTGACAGTATACAGCCTTGATATACTCCTTTCCTGATTTGGAACCAGTCTGTTGTTCCATGTCCAGTTCTAACTGTTGCTTCCTGACCTGCATACAGATTTCTCAAGAGGCAGGTCAGATGGTCTGGTATTCCCATCTCTTGAAGAAGTTTCCACAGTTTGTTGTGATCCACACGGTCAGAGGCTTTGGCGTAGTCCATAAAGCAGAAGTAGATGTTTTTCTGGAACTCTCTTGCTTTTTTGATGATCCAGGGGATGTTGTAATTTGATCTCTCGTTCCTCTGCCTTTTCTAAATCCATCTTGAATGTCTGGAAGTTCATGGTTCACATACTATTGAAGCCTGGCTTGGATAATTTTGAGCATTACTTTGCTAGTGTATGAGATGACATACTAACCATCTCACATACTGTTTATTTTATTTGCCTCTCTTCTTTTGCTAGTGTACAAGCTCCATGAAGACAGGGCTTATTGTTTATTTTTTTCACTGCTGAATTCATAGTGGTTAAAGCAATGCCTGGCACATTGTGAGTACTGTCTAAATATTTTGAGTGAATGAATTCAAATGAATATGGATTCTTTATGGAAGGTATTTCCAGAGTCTCCTTTACTACCTTGTTCCAAACTTTTTCCAAATCATTTCCCCCTTCTTTTTTATCCAAGTCTGTTATTTCTAAGTCTAGGGTCCCAAAAAGCCCTTTGTTGCTCCAGTGGAACTTAAGTTTGCTCTTAATTTAACCTGGAACAAAGGAAAGTTCCTAAGACAGAGGAAAATAGGTTCATTTTTGGGGGCATTCTGTTTTCACAGTTTTCTTCCCAAATTTCCTTTCAGCCTAATTGCGATATATGGGGGAAGATGGCACTTTGAGCCAGCTTGCTTCCCTCCACAGTGACAGTGGAAAGACTCATTTTTAGGTCCTCAGAGGTGTAGCATCAGGAAAAGTTGCTGGTAGAGGCTGTAGAATCTTCTATTTAGGCCGGCCGAAGTGGCAGAAAATTCTGAGGACTTTTAACTCTCCTTTGTGAGTATAATCTGCTAAATTCCTGAGATAAATTGTGAGGTGGATAATTAGAATAAAACCAAATCCTAGTCCTTAGCTGGTTCAGTTTCCCATTTTTGTTCTGTGCAAGTTAGTGTTTTGTTTTCTGAACATGTAATTCCTGGGAAAGGTAGCCTAAGAGAGTTCTAAGGTGACTAGGTAAGGGTGACCTTCACCTTTGAAATATTTGTGGGTCTAAGGTCCGTGTTCCTAAGTTCTGTGTCTTGTGCTTATTGGGCTTTCAGTAAACATCTGAGTGAGTGAATTAGGTTTCCTTAAATAATTTTCCTTTAGAATTTGGTGCTGAAATAGGATTAATTAACTCAACTCTCGTTCATTCCTTCATTCACTATTGACCTGATTCTCTGTGCCAGGAGCTAAGTACAGTAGTGAGCATGATAGACCCTATTATAAAAGGAGCTGACGGTCTATGTGGGGGTAGACAGGCAAGGTCAAGTCAGGAGGACCGTGGTAGAGCTGTTGCCACTGGCGCTCTCCTTTGGGGCACTAATCAACTTTAGAAGCTGGGGAGGCTTTCAGGAGGAGATGATGTCTACATTTTGGAGATAAGACAAGTGAGCAGAAGGTAGCCAGAGAAAGGGGCGATGAAGAGGAGGACATCAGGCAGAAGGAACGGAATGTACAAAAGCCTGGAGGTGAGAGAATGCAAACGCTTTGTGGGAAGCTTTAGTAAGGCACCATGGCTGCAGCGCATGGTGGGCAGGGGCAGTGATGAGAGATGAGGCTAGAGAGAAAGAGATTGAGGCCAGATGATAATGGGCCTTGGATATGATGCCAGGGCCTTTGTACGTAATTCTAGGGTAATGAAAAGCCCTTAAGTCTGAGCAAGAATCCTCTGATCACAGGATGCCAAAAGATCTGGAGGGAGCAAGACTGGTAGATACAGTGTGAGAGATGATGGTGCCTGGACAAGGGAGTGGTGGGGATGGAGAGGTTCCAGGTCTTTTTTGGAGGGAGAAGTGGTAAGACCAGGGAATTGATTGGATGTCATGGGTGAAGCAGAGGGGTCAAGGCTGACCTTTTGGCTCAGGCACCTGGGAGGGTAGTGATGCTGTTTATTTGGGGAATACAAAGGCAGAGCAGGTTGGGGATTAGTTAGATTTAATTGGTTACAAGTATCAGAAACTGCTCCAAGCTAGCATAAGTGGAAATGCATCATAAATATACTGAGGTACCCTGGAAAGGGCCTGGAATCAGGAGTTGGAGATCTGTCAAGGATCCATACCGCTTCTCTTTGCACCTTTAATTCATTCTTTGTCTGCAGACCAGTTTTCTCCACTTCTTACCTTTTGTTGCAGAGAAAGATGGCCACCTACACCTCCTTGGTTTTTCATTCCTTCTTTTTAGTGATTGGCCCAGATTGAACTATAGTTTTAGTCCCGGTCTGGTTTTCTGGGAGAGAGACTATGATTGCTTTGATTTGAGTCAGCTCATCGATCAGCCACAGTCAGGGAACAGGGGAAATTCTCTCTCCAGGTATGTGTCAATATCAAATTCAGTCAGCTTTTGACTTAAGTGAGTCAAAAATTAGGAATGATCCATAAAATGGGGAATCATCATTCCTTTTCCCTTCTTACTGTTCTCTTTGTGAACAGTGGTTAATTGCTGATTTTGCAGGTTTAGGAGATGCAGACTTCTAAAATTAGGATACTAAAAAAGCAAAATTAGAGGAATAAGTTTGCTCTAAGGGTTTTTTGTCATGTAATGTGCGTTCTAACACAAATAGAAATTTCAGAGTTACTTGGATTAGTGTTACACATCCTTTCAAATTGCTTACCCAGGTAGTGAAAGATTTGAAGCTGTGAAATTGAAATTTCACTAATTTTGGTCACTTCTGTTAAGCAAGTAGTTAAGAGGTGACTGCGGTGAATTTAGCTAGGATTTAGCCCTAGATAGAAAGGGAAGGA